CACTGGATCTCGTTGTGCTGTAAAACATGGCGGCCTATAGTTCTGACTTTAAACACCTTTTCTCCAATCTGGGGCAGAGTTAGTAAGTGTTATTTGGGTAGAAGAAGGATATTATTGTGTTATATGGTCTGTAACTACTAGCTTTCCACTGCAGTTTTATAAAATAGAAATATATCCATTTTTTAGTCTATTTATGGTCTGTTTTGTAAAAGCCTTTTCTGGAAAACTATGCAATTTGAAGAGGTATAATTTTGTATGTGTCTATGTACATGTCTTTTATACGGTTTGTATATTTTTATAATTATTTTAAAGCTATTTTTCTTCAAAAAAAGTTACTTCATGTCATTGTGATATACCATATTAGAATGATAAAACTATTATTATAATATTATTTTTTTGATGATCAAATAGGGTATGAATATGAAACCAATGAAGCTAAATTGTCTGTTGTTTCTTGTACTGACTCTTTTCAGAAGAAATATAGATTTTTATGAAGTTTTTTATAATTATTGATTTTGCCACCATTTTGGTTGCTAAGTGTAGCTAGGAAAACGTCACATCCAACGAAAAGAGCATAAGCACTTCCTGTTTCATATCCACTTGGTCATAGATATTAGAGTACAGGAAATTCCTGTACTCTAATATCTATGACTTGTATAGTATCTATGGTTACAAACGGCGTACCATACACGCACCCAAAATAAAATAATTTATTAAAATACTCGTTAAAATATTTTTTTAAATTAATAGAGCAAGATGTTCTGATAATGTTGGCCTTTATGAAGACTAGTGGACTCCAGGAGCTATATTCTGCTTATCAGGAAGAACAAGACTGTTTCAAAGGAGAGGAAGAAGATGCTGGTCGGAAAGAGGAGGATGCTTAAGCATAAATAGTAGGTTACGTTAGTCTACACAACCAATTGTTATCGCCTTAGATCAGGACTGATATCAGTCTGAATCATACTGATATCAGTCCTGAATCATGGTTTTTGTGTAATCACACATGATACAACTGCGAAAATCACTGAGCCATGATACAATCATGATGATAAAATTTGTACTGATTCATGCCAGAATATCAGGCGTGATCTATAATAAAACCTTTCAGGGCTGTACCAGTATAGAGTATCTGACTTGGTCCATTATTTTGGGGCAAAAGTGGTGATTCAGGTGTGATAACATTTGGTTGTGTATTATATCCCTGGTATACAGGATCGGAAATAGGGAAATACTCCGTGTCTTATTATTATAATACTGTAATTTTGGAAATTTCCAATTAGAAAATAAATTGGATAATTAATTTTTAATAATTTTAATTTTCGGATAGCCATCTTGTTCCGAAATTAAGTTTAATTCCAATATTAAGCAGTAACAGTGAATGACTTTGAAGAGACATCAAGGAGCTCAATGGTAGACCAAGAGAGAGTAAGTATGAGCGAGAAAGAAGGAGTAGAGGGCACAGACCAGTACTGAAGACAGCTAAAGCCCAGACGCATGGTATCGATACCGGAATTCCTTTTATCCGAATATTTTAATATTCAATTGTTTAAAATTTTAACTTTTTTATTTTCAAATTTTTCTGTCTATCTGAAAATTAAAATTATCCGAAAATTTCCCAATTTACAGTAAAATTTCCAATTTCCAATTCCCAATTTCCAATTCCCAATTTTTAATAATAGTTATTAAAAATTAACATAGTTGATACTGTAAAGTGCTGCACAATTAGAAACAAACAAAAAAGTCTAAATATGAGATTGTGTTAATCTCATAAGCCTAGGTGAGTTGGTGTCCTTAAGTCTCCCATTTTAGTTAGATTGGTCTCTCAAAATTTATTTCTAGATTTAACAATGATTACTGTAATACTACATACATGTATTACATGTACATGTAGTCATGTACATTAATTTTGTATATTTACAAGAAAATTACAACAGTTTGATCTGTAGCACAGTTTCCTTATGCATGTCTTAAATTTTGTTTATTTATTTATTTATTTATTCTCTTCACTAGATGTTCTCATCCAATGGTGGCAGGATTGTGTTGATGCTCCTGTTGATGGACCTACTCTCTCTCCAATAGGGTCACCAGTGGGAGGGGCTGGGGGCAGAGCTTACAATGATAGCAATGAAATATCAGCTTTCTTTGATGTCCTTGAGTAAGAAATAATAATAATAATAGTAATAATAATAATAATAATAATAGGCTTTCTTTTCTTTTTCTTTTTTTCTGTTGTATAATAATAATAATAGTAATTATAGTAATTGCTATTTATTTATATATTTATTTATTTATTTATTTAGATCTTGTGCCCACGTTTTTGAGTATTTTGGAAGAATAGCAATCAATAAGAAATGGTAAGCTATAGGACTAGGATGAAGCTTCCAAAGGTTTAAAGTTACATATGTGTATGTCCATTAATCATTAATCACATTATGTGTATGTACCAGACCTGGGGTCAATTACAATTGTAATTGTAATTGAAGGGTCAATTACAATTACAATTACGTAATTGTAATTGTAATTGAGCTTCAGCTTATGTAATTGAAGTTTCAAATATATATTTGAGTTACCTAACTACAGAATGTACAGATGCACAAAGAAATGTTCTCTATGTACTTTGGTATCTTTGGGTGTTTTTGATACAGTAAAGTACCAAAATAACTTCTTCTTAACATACAGTAAAAGCACTGCAAAGTATGTTGCTACAATACATGTACATCAAATTGTAATTGTAATTGAAAATGTAATTGAAATTACACTATCATGGTGTAATTGTAATTGTAATTGAGTCTATTTTTACAAAAGGAGTGTAATTGAATGCATAATTGTAATTGAGCTTTTGTAATTGACCCGAGGTCTGGTATGTACATGTACATCGGTATTATGAGATTTTTTTAAATGGCTGTAACGCAGAAAGTTTTACTCAGAATCAGCTCAAATTAACTTGCTACACAGCATAAGGACATCAATACATGTATGTATCAGAAAATGTAATAAAAATTTGCAGTGATTTTGGAGCCATTTTTTTGAAAAATTTTGGCTCAATTTTTTAAATAGCTGTGTCTTGAAAAATTGAAGTCAGGATTAGCTCAAACTTTCTACACAGCATAAGGGCATCAATATGTATCAAAAATTTAATAAAAATTTTTGGTCATTTTGGAGCCATTTTTTGGGAAAGTATAGCCTTGGGTATTTTTCAGGTCATTTTGGAGCCATTTTTTGGGAAAGTATAGCCTTGGGTATTTTTCAGATTTGGCTTATTTTTACAATGGCCGTAACTCGAAAAATTGAAGTCGGAATCAGCTCAAACTTTCTACACAGCATAAGGACATCAATATGTATCAGAAAATGTAATAAAAATTTGGAGCCATTTTTTGAAAAAACCATGGGCTATAGCCTTGGGTATTTTTCAGATTTTGGCTCATTTTTTAAATTGGCTGTAACTGGAAAAATTGAAGTCGGAATCAGCTCAAACTATTATGTAGCATAAGGACATCAATATGTATCAGAAAATGTAATAAAAATTTGGGGGGATTTCTGAGCCATTTTTTGGAAAAAAACCATTACAGCATTTGCTTTTTTCCAATAGTTCACTACTTTTAAAAATGCCTGCCACTTCAAAATTTTTTGTTGGAATCAGCATGTTAGACTTATCGTATTTATAATATTTATGTATTATTATATAGGCGGTAGCCTATATGTAGGATTGAGGTTGATTTTTCAAGATGGCGGCCGTTTTTATGATTTTCAAACACTTATAACTCTTTTATCTTACGTTGCACAGCCTTATAAATGGCTTAGATGAGCTCTCCTTCACTGAGCGATTCTCCTGGTACCTTTAAGGTGGACTGTAATGTAGCGGGAGCATTTCTGGAGAATAGGCCCAAAGTCAAATTTCTACAAAA